CTAAACTCCACTGCTTCCTAGTGATATATATCCCACAGGATATCAACACACTTTGGACCATTCTTGTCTCTAACTTGGGCACTAAACCCCTTCTAACTGCCCCTCACAGCAGTCTTTCCCAGCCTCCTTGGCTGCTGACCCATCAGGGTACAATAACACATTCTCTTTCTTGGGTACACAACCCCTTTCTAACTGCACCTCATAGCAATCTCCCTTAGCTTCCTCTGATGCTAAACCCCTCAGGGTAAAATGACACATTTCCCTAACTAACTTCAAACACACCTCTGTCTCTCTATTTGTACTCGCTCCTGGGAGTAGCCCCCACCTTTGTCTAGCTTAATTCCCATTGGCTGTCATCAACATTGTAACCTGCCTGTTTTCTCCATAGAAAGTAGCCATGGAGAATAGCCCAAGACAAAGATGGGGTCTAGAAAATAACAGAACAGGGGACATGAAACAAGACAAAACAGAAATTTTGGTGGTTCTGATTGTAGCAAAGGAGTAGCCTTGGACATGCTAACATTATAAACCAGCACACCCAGATTAGTTATCTTACTATGTTCTTTTCAAGGCCAGCAAAGGTTTTTCCTGCTCTATTGCAACCAATGCTTCACTTTGTGACTCTTGGCTCCTGCTTCTGAGGAGCCTTAGGACCTACTCTAGATGGTCCAGGCTCATCTTCCAGTGGTTCCAGGGAAAGGACTAGCAGCCAAAACCTCCAGCTCCTCCTCTTATCTTGCTTCTCCTCCTTCCCATCTTCATCTGAGGAGGCAGTGGTGGCTGGTTGTTCCTGTGTCAGTAGGGTGGTAAATTTGTTCTCGGGTTGCTACAAACTTTGAAGAAGGTGAACAAGGTTGTGGTTGATATGTAGTCAACATTCTTATACTTCAAAACTCCAGCTTTCTAATCTGAAACAGATTATTCTAGTTTCTAGTAAGATCAATCACTTCTTGCTGTAAATAACAGTGACACTGATAGTTCCTTCATTTTAGCTGTAAAGCTTTAATGGCCACACAGATTTGCCTGAAGAACTTGAAGAGGTGTATTTGTTTTCCATATCAGATACTTATAAGCAACAACACAATGCAGACAGTTGTAGAGAATTTAGCTCATTGTTCTTGACAAATCTGAACACCCTTTTAAGAGGAGGCTTGGGTTGTTGATCAACAAGAAGTACAAAGTAGGAAGGAGATTATTTATAGAATGTGTGGGTAGAACCATTTGGATAATGGGAAGACATTTTGTCAATATCATGCTAACAATATAGTTGCTATTTGGAATGTTATTATATTTGCTGTTCATTCACGTGTGCAAATGAATAGCCAGTAGATACATCCCCCCTTTTTTACAGAGCTATAGAAGATTAACACATTCAGCAGATGAATGAATTATTCAATGTTTGCCATTAGTACACCTCCTGTTGATGTGGATGAATAAAAGAAAAAGCTTTGAAGGAAAACTAATTACATTTTGCATCCACTCTCCATCAGGACCTGTTCCAACAGCAGGTACTCATACAAGTATAGAATGCAATTCTAACCACTGAATGCAATAGAAGCCAAGTTATAAAACCTCTCCATATGAACTCTCTTTGTACTACATCTTGAAATAAAGGAGATTATAGTCAGACAGAAAGTTGCTAATGCAGAATATCAACAGAGATGTTATTTCTCTGTCTTTCCTGCGTTTCATTTTGTTAGGGAGGGGTTAGAAATGTTCTTCATTTTGTATTTCATTCTAAATTTATCAAACATGAGTTTCTTGAACTCAAATTGGAATACAGTTAGAAACTGAAATCCACACCTTGCCAATGTTTTCAGTAGAAAAGGGGAAAGGTTAAATATACATAAAATTGTGTCCATTTGAAAAAAAAAAGTGTTTCCAAACATTCACAATCCAATATGCAACCAGGGTAGAATAAATTTAAGAGTGAAAATGAATGTGATAAACAACAGTCAGGTATGACAGATTGCCATTCCATACAGTTTATCTACTGTAATTTAGGATGGTGATTCTTAGTTATAGTCCATATAAAATTTTGTGATTCAGACACTGAAAATATTTGGTTATGTATATTATAAGCTTGGACCACAAAAAGGGAGACACAAGAGACTGCAGCAACTATAGAACCATAGCACTGATCTCCCATGCAAGCAAAATCATGCTCAAAATTCTGCAACTTACCCCCTTTGCAGATGGCATTTTGTGCCATCTTGGAGGTAAGGAAGGGGAGGGGCAGCCTCACGCTGGGCGTCCCAACCCCTTCCCGAACACGTCATCAGAGCGCCTGTCGCTCCACATGATGGACACTCCAATGACATCTTTCCGCTGTAGCATCCGGACGCGCTGCAACGGAAGAGAGGCCAAAGAGGCACCCAACACCTCTTGCAGCGCACCTTCGGCGCCTTGCTGAAGGAGCTCTATTTTATTGCTCCTTCCAGGGCCCGAAAATGGATGCATTGGGGCTGAGGAGTGCGGGTACCTCAGCCCCAATCTGTGGCTTCTTGGGGCGGCCCATGGTCACCCATCTGCAGAGGCCCATAGACTTGGACCAAACATGGAAAGAGAAATCCCAGAGGTCCAAGTGGGGTTCAGGAAAAGAAGAGGAAGAGAATTCCAAAAGTAAATCAGCATGTGCTTTATAGACTATAGCAAAGCCTTTGATTGCATAGATCATGAAATGCTATAAATGCCCTTAAAGACATGGGAGTGCTAATATATCTGATCATCCTGATGAAGAATCTGTACTCAGAACAGGAGGTTACTGTCAGAACAGAACAGGGAGAAACAGAATGGTTCCCAATTGGCAAGGGAGTTAGACCAGGCTACATCCTATCACCCTATCTGTTCAACTTGTATGCAGAATATATTATAAGAAAAGCAGGCTTGGACACAGAAGAAAGAGGAGTGAAAATAGGAGGAAGGAATATCAACAATCTAAAATATGCAGATGACACCATAGTACTAGCAGAAAACCTCACAGACCTGGAACACCTACTATGGAAGATCAAAGAAGAAAGTGCAAAGGTAGGCTTAAAGCTGAACATAAGGAAAACAAAAATCACAAGTTCAGCCTAGAAAATGAAGAAATAGAAATAATGAAAGAATTCCTATACCTGGGATCAAACATTGATAGAAATTTTGACCGCAGTCAGGAAATCAGAAGAAAACTAAGAATGGGGAGGGTGGCTATAAAAGAACTACGAAAGATTCCAAAATGCAAAGATATACAACTCAGCACAAAAGTTAGAATCATACAAGCTACTGTATTCCCTATTACCATGTATGGATGTGAGAGATGGACAATTAAGAAAGATGATAGGATGAAAATCAATTCATTTGAGATGTGGTGCTGGAGAAGAATGCTGATGATCCCATGGACAGCCAAAAGGACAAACAACTGGATTCTAGAGCAGATCAAACCAGAAGCCTCCCTGGAAGCCAAGATGACCAAACTGAGGCTGTCATACTTTGGACAAATCATGAGAAGAGAGGACTCTTTGGAAAAAAAACAATAAAGCTGGGGAAGGTGGATGGAAGTAGGAAGAGAGGAAGGCCACATGCTAGATGGATAGACTGTATTAAGGAGGTTACGGATATTGGGTTGCAGGAATTAAGTAGAGCAGTGAAGGACAGAGGGTCTTGGAGATGTCTCATTCATAGAGCCACCATGAGTTGAGATTGACTCGAAGCCAGTTAACAACAAAGTTAACAACAAAACCCCTTCACTCTACACAGTAATAGTGTTATGATTCCACTCTAATTGCTGGGATTGGAATTCTAGGAAAGGACAATCAGAATTCTTAGCCAGAGAGCTCTACTGGTGGCACAGTGGGAGCCTTGGTGGTACAGTGGTTAAATGCCTGTACTGCAGCCACTCACTCACAAACTACAAGGTTGCAAGTTCAATACCAGCTAGGGGCTCAGGGTTGACTCAGCCTTGCATCCTGCCGAGGTTGCTAAAATCAGTACCCAGCTTGTTGGGGGCAATTAGCTTACACATTG